GAGTAGCCGACAGAATGCTCGAAACTGGTCTAAGGTAATTCCCATCTCTGCTACAGATGAAAAATTCACCTCAACCCAGGTTGAGGCTTATTACTAAGTAATTGGTACTATTTACATATAGATAATCATTGGTAGTTTGTTCATTGTTAAGTATATCGTTCTTTATATCCCCTACTACAAAATAAGCATCGAAGTTATTTATTTCTATCCTTTGTAAGTACGTATCTAGGGAGTTCACAAAATTTTCAGTAATACATGTGAGATGTATTTTTGAGTATTGATCATTTAATGTTTTAATGTCAAAGGCTGAACATTCTCCAATTTTTATCATTAGCAATTTTAGTAATTCGCGTCTCCTTTCTCTATCTAAATTGACTAGTTTTTTGGATTTTTTTGTTATCAAAATTGTGTATTAAGCATTGAAAATACAAATTTTGTTTTCGAGCGTATCTCAAGAGCGAATAGGATGAAGCCTAGGCAATTAACGCATATACAAATCTTTTTACTTCCTTATTTATTCATCAGTTGTAGGTATTATGTAAATTCTCATTCCAAAAGAATACAATAGCTGCGTATCCAATATTTGGATTTCGGCCGCTTTGTTAGAAATATGGTCCTAGTTGAAGTAATACAATCCACATCAATCATACAAAAACATATAATGAACAATTTCTTGTTTTTTCCGGGTTTGTTCGTTATTTTTTAGCGTATTTCCACAAAAATAAAAAAAAGCGCTATTGTGGCCACTTTGTCCGGCCGTTCCGTCCATACGACGATTTCACTATCAAATCTTTATCTTAAGGATTGCACATGTCATAACTTTATTGTTTGTGTAGGTACCATTCGTTCTGAAATTTAACTGTCACTCAAAGATGTCAAAAAATGGATAGTGTATGTGCTTAGACTCAATTTTCGTAGACGCAGGACAGAATGCGCTTTTCAAATAACGGTTTGGCATCATTTTGGTTAAATTACTTTACTCATTTTTCTCGGAAAAGTGATCATTAATGTGGAAATGCGTTTTCCTTGTTTTAAGTTACTAGTGTTTGTATTTTGTGAATGTAGTTGTGCCTCCTTTTGTTTTGGAAAGTACTTTATCTGGCGCACGGAGCCCGGATTACCATAAGCGAGCAAAAGGGGCATTTGCTCTTCTTCGCTTTTCATGATCACTATCGAACTATAGTTAATTATGTATACCTAATATGCTCCTACATTTTCTCACTATCAAATAAAAATTATCGTCTTTTTACCACACCACAAAATTTAACGAGTTAATATGTTTCCTTAATTACTCATGCGGTTTTTGTGCATTTGTGTCACTTCCTTTGTTTAAACAGGTGAGATATCTAGTAATTTTCGTGCTTCACTGATCGTTTTCAAATAGCAAGGCCCAAAATTGAAATATTTCGAAGAAGAACGTATATTTTCATTTTATCGAAAGTTAATTTTAATATGATTTCATTGCAAAACTGAAGAGAATTTGTTTTTATTATTATGCTTTGTTATCTTAAGAAGGATCGCTCGATATAGGTACTCGGTCTCTAAATGTTTGAGTAAATGTTGCCCCCAAGGCTCCATCTTGGGTCCTACGCTATGGTGACTCTTTGCTCGGACAAGACCTACCGCACCCCCAACGTAGATATTTTTGCCTATGCGGACGACATTGCTATCACCGTGTCCGCTGACCGCTAGCAACAGTCGCGACCTGGAGGGAAGAATGTCCCTATGGGCCATATGACTCCAACGACTGACGGATTGGGCGGGCAGTAACAAATAAACAAACTGTCTGTCTCAGTAGACAAGACAAAGTAGGTACGTGTTTTTAGTTCCCGCCTACCCCTACACAACTGGTCAGTTCGCAGAATTTTCGAATTCAAGTTGTACCTGGGACTAATAACAGATCGCAAGCTCTCCGTCGTCAAGCGTTGCTCTTAATTAGCCAAAATTTAAAATTCTGCTTCATCTATTTTACAAATACACGCGCGTAAAATGTAATCTCCCAGAACTCTCCCAGAACGGTACCCAACGATTTCTTATGCGTTCTTGCCATAAGCATCCCCTTCTTCATTTTCCTCTGCAGTATTATCCGCAGGACCCGCACCTGGACCCTGCTTAATGACTGCATTTCTACAACTTCTCCTTCTTTTCGGCCGCCAAGTTCCATATAAAAACTTTGGTCTTGGATGAATGGCAGCGGTCGTGAGACGCATCCGCTAAAGGTCTAGAAATGGTTACAAAAAGATCATGTCCTCGGACGCGCCGCAGTCCGCCCAAAACAATTGGTTCATATATCCATTTAAAATTTAAAACCCTACACGACTGTCTCCAAAGCCAAATCTAGGTAGGTGTTTTCTTTGTTGTTTATCTTCTGGAGTAAAAACTTCCAAAAGGTATACTGCAAAGAGCTGTTCTATGACTGAATCTTTAAAAGTGGTACTGGTATGATAGGTGCCTTTGCTGATCTTACTGGTAGTTTTGGAGTGCCTACTTTCTGGGGTTTTTGATTTCCGCTCTTTTATTTATGGTTCTGTTACATGCAGCTTTATCTGATGGAGCTTGACTTTGTTACCACTTCCCCCTGGCCGTTGTCTTCCCTGCTATTAGATTTTTTTCTATTTCAGCATCTCATGATATTACTAAAAGTTATATGTTCCATAGATATGACATTAGTAATATAAAAATCTAGAAGATCTGGAATTTCCTATACGAGTCGCGAAATACATATTATGATCTGGTATTATACTTTCAACAGCTCTCTGTCTTTTGGTGTGGTCAATCGCGGCAACCCCAAATTATGTTTTTACTGTTGTAAACACCGACAACCTTATTTCTTGACGTTTGGAAAAATTCGCAAAAGTTTTCTTTTTTGATGTTGAAATGTGAAGAACAATTCAAAGCTACCACTACAAGGGATTCAACCGCGCAATTTATTGTATCTACCTTTCAGAAATTCGGAAACTAATTTCGGCGATACACTCCCCCAAGCATTTCTAAGATTTTCGTTACTAGAAAATAGATTTCTAATTCTAATTTCCTTCGAAAGTGCATAGAAGTAGGAGTGGTTGTGCAAAGGATCCAAAAGAACACAATGATAAACGCTTTCCGGGCCAAAGTTACAGAAGAACATTTTTTCACTGTTACCGCAGTTTTCATAACCGATATTAACTAAATGTTTCGGAAGATAATTGGTACATCGGCTCACAGACGCTTCCAAATGTTACATTGAAGATTCCTTGTTCAAATGCAAATTAATACTGTAACTTTCGGCTTAAATTTACTTAAAAAAACAGCAATTGTATTTCAAATTGGAAATTGATTTTCCGCAATGATCTTATATTTCAGACTAGTTATAAATAATTAAAGAATAATCACTTGTATTCATCAAGTGAAGTAACAATAGTGAGTATTTTATTTTTGGTAATTCAAAAATTATGATTTGGTCAGATGTACTTTACGTAACAACTGTAATTTGGAAGTAAATTTACTTTAGAGATCAGATGGTACCCATCCATACTTACAAAAAGGCACTGCTCTAATTTATTACTTGGAATTCGGAATTACAAATGCTTATTATTTCCGAATTACATCTGGCAACGTCTGATATACTTAATAGCCATTTCCGAAATATATTCTAGCATTCATCATTACCTACTATCAATTGATATTGAAATACAAATAATTATTTATGAATAATGAATGATGAATGATTAATTTGAAATATATATGGTCATTTCTGAAAATCACTTTACGATTCATAATTTTCCGAAAACACTTCCACGTTTTCTGGAGTATACTTACTTTTGGAAAGAGTGTAATTAAGTTAATTAACATTTGTTAGATATTTATATTATACCATTAATTTTTGAGTTTCAGCTTATCATAAGTTTTTACAGTTTTGTTTGTGCTCATTTCTGAATGCGATTGTTTTACTGTAGGGTTTTTATCACACTAATGCCTAGTTGCATTTATTATACTAATTTTTTGAACTTAAGGTACTTAGTATATGTACTACCTACGCAAAAGTAAACCGAGAGTATTGATCAACGACTACAACGTCAAAACGGTTTTCATATGTAGGTATATAATTGCCAAATACAAAATAAAAGCATTTAATTTTGAGTCTTATAATGTACTATGGAAACTATATGAGGAAAATTACTTCTTGACTAAATGAAAATGGTCTGTACTTTTAACCTCGATTTCCACGAGGAAATGAGATTTTTTTGTTGCATCTGAGAAAACAAAGAGCATGAATGTAAAATCAATACTCTGTACGATTACAGGTTCTGAAGATACGCCCCCATTCTGGACGCACGTTTTAAAGAGCACCACCAGGTGGGCGAAGGCCAACTCAACTGAGGCCCAGAAATGATCCCACATACTACCCAGATTGCTTAAATAAAGTATGTTCCATCACTCCAACCCCGCAAACCCATCAATTCATACCTAATTCAGTTTCAATATTTTACAATTTAATATACACAAACAATTGTTTATTTAATGATTTTATAGTTTCTCCCTCAAACTTTCGGCATATTTAAATGCAGTAATATCACGGTTGTTATAAGAAAATAAAGTAGAAAGCCAAATTATTGTCTTGGGGGATTTTTTGTTTGACAACTTCCTCAAGCTTCTTAGTCCTTCCTTAAAAAAGAGAAAGGGGCGTTAATATATAAATAGCAACGAAAATAGCAACGTATTTATATTAATATCGACCAAACCACCAGGAAAAAACTGTCAACGTGATTTAAGGAACTAGTAACATTTGGGAAGTTGTAAGCACCATCATCGTCAATACAGGAGAGATGTTTAATCGAATATCGGTTGTTCCAAATTCGAATGGTTGCGTGTTTTATCGTTAAATTAAAGTGTCTTATTTGACGCTTTGCCTATCTCGCGATTGGAGAGGGCATGGGTGATTTTGGTGATGGTACGTATGTACGTGTTTCACTATTGACTATGTGATTAGTGATTATACTGATGCGCGAATATGAATTCTGATACAACATTTGATATTGATATTTAATCCATATGAAATGTTATTCATCTAATGTCATCTTTAATAACGCGATTGTGGGAATTCAAAATTCGTATAAGCGCAATACGAAGGGATCACATGTGAGAAAAGGACCGCCCTAGTATTAGTATCAGTTATGTGAGTAAGATTTAATAAATTCTGCACAGAAAAATAACTTTTGAATGATTTAATAATGAAGTAGACATCGTTTAGACCTTTTTTATGGTAAGGAATGCCCCATGCGGTCACTGGACTTAATTTGTACATGAAATGGACAAAAAATATCAGTGTTTTTTTGAAAAATTGCGATTCTATATTGTGTTTATTTAGTAGGGCGACTATTGCGAGATAGGTACTTTATTAAAAACGCCTGAACGTCCAGTCGGCCGTCCGTCCTTCCGACCGTTCGTACGACCATCAATAGACAAGAGCGTTGATGGTCTGTGCATATGAACGCAGCAGATTGCTATGAGATTGGTCTCATACAGACGATTACGGAGCTTGAACTTCTGAGTTTCGAATAGACCTGGTCAATATGAGAGGTCCAGCTTAAATTTTCATTTATTGTTACCCCTATATAGGAAACGTTGGTTACTTTTAAGGCACAACAGTTTTGGGGTGGATTCGACTGTTGCTGTTTTGCCTTCTCTCAATTTCAGCTGATTCGAGTTGCATCTTATTGCATTGTTAGCCTTTAATCCTAATGTGTTTAAATTATGGTCAAAGATGATTAAGGATCTGTTTACTCGTGTACAGCTACGCTAGGATCTTTGAGCTTCTTATCCGTCGTACACCCCTGAGGGGTTCCGGTGATCTAAATTTATGATTTATTATGTTGCTATATAAAGCTCAAATTTGGTATACAGATAGGAAGTGATTAGATTGTGAGCTTTTGAGGATCAACCTCCTAGAGCAAGGTCAAAGGTCAAACGCACGGTGGTCCTACACTTATAACTTTGTGTGGGTTTATTTATGAGAGAAGATTCCGACCTGTGGGGTTCCCAAAAAATAGCCGTCTTTTCGTCTAAAATACGAATTTTACGATTTTGCCTAAATCTGTTGGAATCATTCGGGACCAAAAGGTTTGCTTCGTATTTTTAGGTGCGTAATGACCATGAAATTAATCACGATTTTAAGAACTGTTACCTATCTAATGGTTTAGATCTAATAAGGTGACAAGAATAATATCATCTGACATATTGCCAAAACTTTGAATACATACGAGTAGGTTAGCATATTTTGGCAACACAATTAGCGCAGAAAAGAGGATTCAAATGAAATTCATAATTTTACAAATCTACAATTTCTAGCTGGACTGTGACGTATTTCCATTACAAGCGCACGGGCTCCGGATTTTATCAAAATCTTCCGTATAAACAATTTTATCAAATTAAATCTCGAGGTAGCTAGGATTATTGCGATGTAACAAACGCGTCAACTGTCTGTTGTAAAAGTACAGAACGCATTCATTAAATTCCTCTTGCATGTAAAGTAGGTAAGAATGGCATACATGGCGTACTTAAAATTGTTGCAATTATTTACAAAGGTTAATTAGGGTTGCCTAGCAATTATATTAAAAGTCCGACAAGAGATTCTATTTCTGATTACATGCGATATATACGCGAAGTGTGTATAAAACGGTTTGTTCAGTTGTTACGGTGCTTGTAAACACGAATGTGCTATTTTTAATGTAATTTTCTAAATTCGTAGAAGACAGAAGTGATGCAGGGCTGCGACCCTCTTGAATTTACAAGCATATACCAGCGTAATCTTGAAGGTATAACTAGATTAAAATTTTAAATTGGTGCGGTAAGTTAATTTAGATACTTGCCCTTATAGTAGGCATATAAATCAAAAAGGGGTACCTACAGCAAGAAAAACGCATTCATGTGATTAATGTGATCGCACTTCTATTTTTATATGCGAGAAAAAAATCGATAGATTTGTTAATTTTGTACGTGGGTTAGGACGGATTGAAGGACTTTTAGTACAAGGGTTGCAAAGCATAATGTCTCGCGGGAATTGTTTTTCATCATCGTTGCAAATAAATTAATAACTATTTCGTTGTAGACAGCGAAGATAGTGATGGGGAAGGTGGCTTAGGCAATGTGAACCGACTAATAATGCGCCCTCCTGGACATAGTGGCAAAGCAAAACGTGGACACTTGTGCTTTGATGCTTCATTTGAAACAGGAAACTTGGGAAGAGTAGATTTAATAAATGAATATGAATATGATTTATTTATAAGGCCAGATACGTGCAGTCCTCGGTTCAGATTTTGGTTCAATTTCACCGTGGACAATGTGAAACAAGACCAGGTAGCTAGTGCTTTCTTTAATATAGTTGATATATCACCGTTTTGGCTTTTAGAGAGTAATTTTCAATATTGTCAACATAAGCAAATATAGAAATGTTTTTAACGAAAATTTGACCCCTGTTGTAAAATCATCGACTCGTCCAAAATGGTACTACTACTCAGCCACGACGATTACAGAGCATCAGTTAATGATTTACTTTTAAGGCAGAGAATACCGAAAACTGACGTGTTTTATCAGCGATCCCTAACACACCATGGTCATTATGTTCTCAGCTTTGCATTTGCGTTCGATAGAGAAGATGAAGTATTTCAATTTTCCATCGCCGCCCCTTATAGTTATTCGAAACTGCAGGCCTATCTCTCATGTTTGGAATCAAAAGCTACCCATTTAAACGAGAGCTTTTCAAGGGAGTTATTAGGAAATAGTATCGTAGGTTTCGAACTACTATAGTACTTAGAAGCTCAATATTCTGTTTTCCAGCAAAAACGAAGGCTAGACGTAATCACCATTGGATCGAAAGGAATACCAAGCGTCAAAAATAAGAAAAGGGTTGTTGTGGTATTAGCAAGAGTTCATCCGGGTGAATCGCCGTCAAGCTTTGTCTGTCAAGGCAAGTATTTTAGCTATATCTCTGTACTACGGTTCATACTTTCCAATTCAGTATTTATATTAGACCAAGTCAGCGTAATGCCAGTATTAGGACCTTTCCTTGATGCGAAAAAAACGAGAAAAGAGTGTTAATGCGTCATAAAATATGAGAGAAATAAGAAAATGTCTCGTTTAGTATTCAATTCAGAACTATGTAAAGCCCTTTAGAAAACTACCCTCCGAATACTTGAAGCCTTTGTGAATAAGAAGGCCAAATATTCGTCCAGTCGAGAATAAAACTTGTCTTTGCCATTCTAAAAGCCCAAAACCATTTGCAAGGAATTCGAACCCTGTGTTTGAATTTATAAAGAATGTCGTGAATCGCGATCTAGTCGATCCCATCATTTTCGATTTTTAAAAGAGATTAATCCAAAGAATCATTGCGAATGTTTTCTGGTACCATATGACGCACCAGAGCAGACGATAGTTAAGTTCGTCATATCTTTGCGAATTAATGAAAGCTCTTTTGCGAATTTCGAAGTCCCAAGGGCTTTGCCTCATGTGTACAGTGTAGAAACTCTTTAAACGCTTGTGCGTTCATTACAGATCCGTGAAGTCGGCACGCTCATTAAAAGCACTACCCACGGCACACGATCTCATCGTTAGTGCTTCGTTAGAGCCTCTTAGTGCTTTCGAACTTGCATAAGCACGACCGCCCGTTTCCGAGAAAACGATCTCCCTTGTGCAGTGCTGACTTCCTACCTTCGTTGAAGGTACTAACGGCGGAGCAAGTGCTAATCGTTAATACCTCTTAGTGCTTTATAAATTGTACCAAGACGATCGCCCGTTTCCCAAAAAACGCCCCCCCCCCCCTTGTACAATGGTGACTTCCTACTCTCGTTAAAAGCAATATAATTAATTCATGCTTGCCATACCAACTCGAATACCAAGAAAGAGAGTTGGAATCGCAAACAATTAAAGGTGAGCCAGCATCTACCAATAAGTGTCAAATAAGAGGTCCTATATTCGGAAAAGTGGGTGCTGCATAATTTTCCGTTGGACAGCACACAACACGCACAAGTACCGAAGCTCCTCCAAAATGCACCAATGGCCAGTAAAGGGCATTAACTATGATACAGAAAACACAGGAAAAGTAGAGATTGTTAGGAAGAGTTGACTGCATGTCTAAGTAAAGTCAACTCTTACTAAAAGTATCAGCATTGAATAATAGATTTATTATTCAATGGTATCAGTAATAGTTGATTTAAAAAAACCCATCAACCTCTAGGAAGACTTTAATTACGCTTGCTCATCTACTGTGGTTTATAGAGATGTTGTTTGGGCACATGTAACTGTGCGCGCATGTATTTAATTTCACCATTCCCAGTGAGGCAGTCGCCATTACTAGTTTCTTTGTGTTGAAGTGAAATAGATTCAGCGTTTTTTATATTTCAATAATTAGTTTCAATGTGCAATATAATTATGTCAGGCGACATGGCAGAACTGTTTAGTGAAAAAGAAGTGCTAGAACGCTCAACTTCCAGAATAGACTCACTGTCATTGACCAAATTAAAATATGATATATTCAAAAAGTTAAAAATATAAAAACTGCGAATATGAAAGAGAGAGTGAGATTTCAATATGGCGCATGGCCAACCGCGACACTCAAAGTTAAGGTACTATCGACTGTCGAAAGAGGCACCCAGGATATAAAGAAGATGATAACCACCTGGATGCAAGATCACAAGAAATCGAAATGTAGTGACTAAAATTTATCTATAGTGGTGAAAAGTTCTTGGACAAGTCTACTAAGGCCATCAAGAAATGGCTAGAAGAACAAGCTAATAGCGCAAAAAAACGTCAGATCAGATTCATTCGCCTGTAGAAAAGAGAACATAAGTTTGACTTCCTGTCAAGAGTTGACCCTGGAAGAGCGTGGTACAGAAGGCTGTCGATGATGAATTCTAACAGAACAAAACATGCTAAATGGTTCAACCATAGTATTTCACAGATCTCAATTCAGTCAATGTCTACGAAAATTAAGTCCTTATGCAATAGGTTTAAGAACATGTTGCAACTTTACAACCACTTGGTAGTGGGTAAGGATTTTTCAAATGCTTTTGCAACATACTAAATGCAAATCCAAGAAGAAAGATACGCTCTGCAACTCAAAGAGTCACAAATCTTTATTAAAAAAATTCAACATGGCGGTCGTACTCAAAAACCATGTGTAAAATACAAAAAAAAACGCTTAGCAATCACATCGGTCCTATAATATCGATAGTTCTGGCTCGCAAATGTTTCCAAGAACGAATTGGAAGTCGAGTCGGTATATGGCACAAATGTTTTCTTGGAAATCGGTCATCCTGTTGAAAGTGATAAGGCCATTAACAGCCATTAACACTAAGATAGGCACTAACGATTAGCACTTGTTCCGTCGTTAGTACTTTCAACGAGGGTATGAAATCTGCACAAGGGGGGGTTCTCGGAAACGGGCGGTCGTGCTGATTACAAGTACAAGTTATAAAGTATACTAATAGGCACTAACGACCCACTAACAATTTGATCATATAGCGTTGTTAGTAGAGCTTTTTAGTAGAGCAAACACAGTTTCGTATAAAAAACGTTTATAATTATATTAGTAGGCTAAAACATTGCGTCTATAATACGCATAAGTGTACCGCGGATATTGCTATATTCTTGTAGGAATATTATGCGTTTTCCTGTGGAAAAAGGTGGCAACATAATTCCCACCGACTCCAGATGTAGACAGGGCAAAAGCTGATCTGCGAAATATAATCGGAGCGGTTCTTGACGAAAACGAAGATGTTCTGAAACAAAACATGGAATAGTCGAAAAATTGTACTGTACCTACTTATGTTCGAATATAAAGCCTCCTAGATATTAGATGCCTTCCTTTGATTTTTCGGAAATGGTAAGCAAAATTAAGTCAATTAATGGGCACAAAGGTAAGCATGTGGACGAAAGCAAATATAATTTTGGTTTTACGAATGTTATCACAAATTATTAATTAATATCCCTACCCCATAAGGTCTTTCACATACTACAACACCGAATTGCGATGTACCAAAAAACTCAAATATGCAAAGTAGTTATAAAATGTGCTGATTCAAGTGTTACCATTGAACATTTTAATGTTTAATAATTTAATTTTTATTCAATGGTTTTATCTAGTTTAAACCAAACTATGTTTAGTTAAAGCCAGAACCAACTGATATTCTATAGGTTTACCTAGTCAGAACTAGTATTGTCCAAAGTGGATAGTTAAAACAGGTTTTACCTAGGAAATTCGAGTTTTTACTGAAATCGGGTTTTGACGGTAACATATACATATTATCAACGTAGATCGTGAGCTCTATGCTTTTTATATAGGTGCATATTATATGAATAAACATAAGAAAAATATTTTAGATGTCTGGTATAAAATTGGTCTAGAAAAAAACGTATACTATTAGGTACTACCAATATCGAGTTTATCCTTTCAAAGCGCTTTAAAATCCTTTTTTAGTGTGTTGCCTGGTCTCAACATATTTATATTGATTAGAGTCTAAGATTTGTTTTTCAAATGGATCTGTCTATTTGTTATGGTTGCTTAGAAAAATTAAAGAAGAAAAGCAAATTTTAGAATCTCGGTTTGTTAAACAAAATTATTTCGTTTTATCGTTCATTTCGTTCCAATGTATGGATACGATGCATTTTCATTTATAGGTTTGTTGGAATTCTTAGTCAGCTCTCATCCACTAGCTACATTGTTAAGGGAACATGTGATATTTAAGATAGTGCCAATGCTTAATCCAGATGGAGTATTTTTAGGAAATTATAGAAGTACACTAATGGGATTCGATTTAAACCGTTCCTATCACATAGCTTCTTCTTGGGCGCATCCTACTTTAAGAGCTACAATCGATATGATCATTGCATTAGACAAAGGCAGAGTATGTTGAGCCGTTCTGTTGATACATCTTTAGAAATCCCTTTTTAGGACCTGCAATTAGATTTTGTCTTAGATATTCACGCACATACCACGTTAAAGGGATGCTTCATTTACGGAAATACATACGAGGATGTTTATAGGTATGTGTATAATAGGTATGTTACAATTATTTTGTGTCCTCTGGAAATGAATACAATCAAAATTAATAAAGGCAACTGTCACAGACATAGGGATATAGGTAAAAACAACAAGATCTTGCTTTATCTGTGACGTTCACATTTTGTCTTTTTGAGATGCTTTTATTTACTTTTTTGTACCTACATTATGCGAAGACATTTACTTTTAATATTATAAATAAGAGCTGTTTTGTTTTGGAATCAAGAGATATTGTTATTATTATTCTAGACGCATGGAATCTATGTATTGCTTATATTTAGCTTGGAATCTTTCTACAACACATACTGAAAATACCATTCAACTATTAACCATTCAAATATTAAAGGGGTTTACTCTTGTTTGAGCCGTATAGAAGATTTCCGCAGCTGTCATCATCAGCGAACAACTATGTTTACTGTTGTTTGCTGGTGATGACCGCCTTGCTGTTGAAACGCGTTCGATATTTTTTAATGTATTCTTGTAGTTTATTGATGTTTTTGTTGTACTTTTTTTAAAGATCAATACATTAAAATTATGAATTTTCTTTTAGGTATGAACGCCATATTGTATTCCCAAAGCTTTTAGCGAACACTGCGGATGATTACGCACATTCAAATGCAATGTTCAATTCGGATGTCAATAAAATAGGTACAGCTCGAAGATTCTTTTGCTCCACGTTAAGCAACAAGGTGAATTGTTACACATTTCAAGTTTCAATTTACGGCTATCACGCTCACGGCTCGGAATTGTGCATACCTTACAACGAAGAAAGTTGTATCCTTAAAATGGTAGTAGTCATATATACATCAGGTGTTTATTTTCCTTGATTTAAAAAAGATATGAGGTGTGGTAGAAATCTGGGAAAAGCGTTTTTGGAGTACTATCAAATCATTGGTGCTATTCCAGTAAGTCTGACCTCAGACGTGGGTGAAAAGAAACGACGCCCAAAAACGCATCGATCCAAGTTAACAGCGCGCTCATGGCATAGTGATAGGCCCAAAACAACGAGGAGTCGTTTTATGTTGCATTTTACCGACGTAAATTATGACAGTGAAACTTCCGGGGAAGAGTTGCATCATAGTTATAGGTACCAACTCAGTCCCACTCGAACACCTCATCAAGATCGTGATGATCATTACTTGAAGAAGTTGGGAGGCGGTGGTAGGATCAAATGCAGCCGCGTTGGGTCTCCTCCTCCAACGACATACATTGTTATGCCAGAACCTAGTTTATCGATAATAGATTTTAATCTAATTACTAGAAACGAAATTGATGCTGCGGCCAAAAGAAAAAATTGAAATTGGTAATTTTAGCAATACGATTCTCATATGAGCTTGCTTGTGTATTTGTCTGGCCGCCTTGGAGAACTAAAATTATTCCTTTTTTGCAGCGATAATTCGTTTTCCTAATATCTCGATGACCAAGAGCAAGGAAATGGTAACAAAAGTGTGTGGCGATCCAGTTTGTTAGTGACCCTGATGCGCGAAAAATGATCAGTATAACATCGACATTGCATGGAATTGTTCCTAAAAACTTCAGACACGATTATATTATTATACATACGCACCTTAATATATGGGTATTACCTATTTTGAAAGAACATTCGCTTACTGTCTGTAATTTTCACACAATTCATGTGCAGATAAAGCGTTTTATACAAATTTTTAATAATTGATGACTTAACATACTGAAACGGTATGTCTTCAAAACCGAATGTTTGATATTTAATAATAATAATAATAATAATAATAACAAATGCCTTTATTGAGTCAGTGGTAAATATAATAAATGGTAAAGTTTCAGAGGCGAAGTTCAGCTCACAGAATGCGCTGCTCTTCCACTTAACCTTAATTTGTTCCTAAGAAACTTGAGTCATAAAGGTTTTGGACACCAGCATATGAACACTTCATAATTCCATTCCATTATTTATGTATTATCCTTGTCTGCTTATTATAATGAAAGTTCTCATGACCTTTGGGTTTCTATTGTTATAAATATATCTCCAGTTCCCCTTCAAAGTCTATATTTTATCACAACCCATTATTTTTAACATCATTGGTGTACAGATTTGGACATTCTAGGTCAAAGTTATTATTGCTGTATTTATAGTGATGCAGAAGCGGAAACAGTAGAAGACAAAATATGTTTTACGGAAGCGGAAGTAGAAGCGGAGGAGTAAATACTATTATAAATTTGGTTAAAACTAGAATAATTAGTCATAAAGACTTAAAAACGCACGAATTATTTCGACGAACTAATGAGATGAATGAATGCAAACAAAGGCAAACAAGTCGCGACACGTCTGACGGCCAGCTCTCGTGACAAACCTCGCCGCGTCTCACGTCACGTGCCGTCGCGTTCTACCAATCAGAGCACAGAGCGCACCTGGCCATATTTGAAAAATTGCGGTATATTTTCGTTATAAAATAGCAGAAGCGGAAGTGAAAAATATGCAGAACTTCCGCACTTGCAGAATCGGAAACAGAGGTTTGTTACAATCTCTACTCTACTCTCTGGGGAGGAACTTTCACGCTCAAATTCTGGTATAATATCCTTGTCCTCGTCCACTTCTCCTCTGTTTCCATAAGATACAAATGTAGTGAAGCATGTACATCCAGAAAGACTGTTCGAGGAATTATGTTGTAGTCTAAAAACTTAGATGAGCACATTATCAAAATATTTGTAAAATTATATGCTTTGCATCCAACCAGAATCTGAAATTCCTATACTCCTGTTTTTGAAAGCGGTGCTCACATGTTCCTTCGGCGTGTGAGTGGCGGATGAATTAAATCCTGCTGCATTAATTCATTAATTAATTAAATTAATTAGTTAATATGTGGTCACATTATCTTTATCCGACGTCATAGTCATGCTTTTCCTTGGAACTAATGGGCTAAGGTCCCTTATAACATAAAAAATGCCGTTTCATTCATGTTAATAATTCTTTTGTTTCCATAAACCAGCGCCTTATTTTGCTTTGTGTAACAGCTGCCTGCGCATTATTTATAAATTTCGATTGTTTTTTTTTGCTTATTTTTGGATAACTACCGCTATTCACAAGGCTTGTATCAGAAATGTTTCATTCTTCTGCAATTCTCTGACCAGAATAAAGCAATCCTGTCTTATTTATCGGAAAATCTTTACAAACGCATTTTAGAACCCACCTCACTAATATATGCTAATATTGATTTAGGTTCAGCTTCTACAACGATACAATCCAATGCAACTTTATAACATGAGCATGAATTTTGCTATTTATCACGTCGGCATCGATATTGGAACTTCTATTAAATGCAATTCAATTTGCTTATATAGCAAACGAAAAGCTTCTAGAGAATTCCGCATATCATACTTCCTGGAAAGAACACGACACATAATTCCTTGTCGCCGGTGACTAGCCCTTTATCGACTTGATGGCGCCCAGATATCATCAATAAAATAAAAGAAAAAAAACATGAATAAAATCATGCATTGTGAATTATTTTCAGAGTTGTAAAATTAGCAATAAATTTCAAAGGCCAAAATTGAAAATTCACATTTTTATTCAGAGTTGTCCAGAAGCGCAGAAGCGCTTCCCAAACAGAACTGTTCAACGTGGCCCATGGGTAGGAAGAATAAGAAGACCTACCCCTGAGCGGAAAGAGATAGATGCAAAGGATAAAGCTAAAAAATGAAAAAAAAATTATGTGTACAAAGGAAAATAAGTTACGGCATAAATATATCCCTACCTTATCAATAAGAAACTTAACATTGTGCACAGCGATATGCGATATGTTTGCCTTTACCAGAACACCAGAAGAATCTTTGAGTAAGATTTCAAAAAATATCTCTATAAATAAGAAAGTTGACATTGCGTAGTGTGCGCATGAGAAAATTAATCGTCAAGATTTTTCTTGACTCGGGTGTCCTACCGAATTCAAAAAGAACAAACTAATAATATATCGAAAACTGTAGGAGTAGTGAAGACCCCGGACGGACGGAGAAACTGGCCATATAATAACGCCTTCCAACATGAGTTGGTAAATGCCCTAAAAATACCCAAATTGATTCAATCGTTTATCAAAAAATCTTTGTATGCAGAAACGGGCAATTCCCCAAGAAAGTATTAGTTCAGATGAAGGCCCCACTCTAGATTCTAGATAATTCGTCTGATAAAGAAAATATCCTTTGATTTTTTGAATTTGGAATGTGATGATTTTCAGGGGCGGACTGGCTAACTGCGGACCAGGTGGAATTGCATAGGTTACGGGCCATTAAAGTATTAGTGTAGTAATGATGGGGGGGGGGGGGTTAGCTCTGAGGTGCACCACAAAAACATTTTAAAGTACTCCTTTCTCGAAAATAAATTACCATACAGTTTTTTTTTAAATTGCAGCTGATAATTAAAAGTAACAAAATATACAATCCACACGAGGTGCGTCGCCTATCATTGTATTTCAGCACTTTCATGCTACGACAAAAAATGATAAATTCATTGTAAAACACTTCAATTAAAACAGAATTTTTTAACAACCTAACATCAACCCCAATTAGAGAAACGTGTTAATAATTTATTAATAGTGCAAGAAACTAAATACAGCACATACTTATAAATTTCCAACGGGCCATTATGATCTACAGGCCAGGTGGCAATCGCCACCCGCCCCCCCGGGCCAGTGCCCCCTGGTTATACACTGCCTTCTTTTGAACCCCGAAATAAAAAAAATTGTCTCAGATCGACCCGGGAAAAAATTTTCTTATAGAATGTGGCCTGTACAATCCATAATTTGAAACAGTTCCAAGATTGGGCTACTAGTTCAAAAGTTACAGCCCTTTGAATTTTTTTTTTGAAATTGGTTTCTAGTCTATAACTTTTGATTGAGAAGTCTGATCGAAAAAGTACGAATTGATTTGGATTCTACGCACCCAAATTAATAAGAAAAAGTGTTTTTCCGAGAAATTTTGGTGTAGTCGATTTTTGGTAAAAAAGGAAGGTTATACACTGCCTTTTTTTGAGCCCCGAAAAAAAAATTGTCTCAGATCGACCCGAAAAAAAAATTTTCTTATAGAATGTGGCCTGTAGAATCCATAATTTCAAACAGTTCCAAGATTGGGCTACTAGTTCCAAAGTTACAGCCCTTTGAATTTTTTTTCGAAATTGGTTTCTAGTCTATAACTTTTGATTGAGAAGTCTGATCGAAAAAGTACGAATTGATTTGGGTTCTACGCACCCAAATTAATAAGAAAAAGTGTTTTCCCGAGAAATTTTGGTGTAGTCGAATTTTGGTAAAAAAGGAAGGTTATACACAGGGGCGGACTGGGTACTTAAGGGCCATTAAGCCATTAAAGTATTAGTGTAGTAATGAAGGTGCCGGGGGGGTAGCTCTGAGGTGCACCACAAAAACATTTTAAAGTACTCCTTTCTCGAAAATCAATTACCATACAGTTTTTTTTTAAATTGCAGCTGATAATTAAAAGTAACAAAATATACAATCCACACGAGGTGCGTCGCCTATCATTGTATTTCAGCACTTTCATGCTACGACAAAAAATGATAAATTCATTGTAAAACACTTCAATTAAAACAGAATTTTTTAACCTAACATCAACCCCAATTAGAGAAACGTGTTAATAATTTATGAATAGTGCAAGAAACTAAATACAGCACATACTTATAAATTTCCAACGAGCCATTATGATCTACAGGCCAGGTGGCAATCGCCACCCGCCCCCCCGTGCCAGTCCGCCCCTGATGATTTTCTCGAATCTAGTTAAATTGTCTCTAAATTCATTATGTCGGCTGTGTGAAGAAGGTAGACGGGCAATATATGGCGTTTTTAAGAAGAAAAGGAAATGGATTCTAGTTTCCCCAGGTCGATGACGTCAGCTGCATTCAACAAATTGACTACCAATTTCCTCAAAAACCAGAGCAAGTGAAAGATATCTTTCAGTTTTTCATTTTGAAATTAATTTTTCCAAGCTTGATAATTTACGTTAAAAATTCTTTTATTTTTACATTTACATTTATTCGATATTTCGTAAAAATATGCGAATTTTAGATGCATCTGGTCTAGGTTGTGTGCTTTCGTTGAAGCACAACCGCACATTTTATTTTTGTGAAATTATTATGCGAAATGCAACATACGCCACTGGAAGTCTTTTAAGGTAGCGTTCAATGTCATATCGCGGCGCGTTTAACTTACGCGCCTTGTTAAAATCAGGCTGGGCACACTAAAATTTTGCTGATTTAGGGGAAACAACTTTGTAGACGATTTGGTTAATGGAGTTTGCCTCCCATCAACTGTCTGTTTAGAACGTCGCCATTGGGTTACGTTTTATTGTATATAGTTTATTATGAGTGTATAAATCCCGTAATTGTACATGTAAACCATGGATATTTTGAATGTTAGGGATTAATAGTTGATGGACTCTTTTATAGAAGCACGGATGGGATCCAAGGCGAAGCATCCCAAACGAAAACAAATACATATACCTCAAAAATGCATCGACCAGGTAAATATGGTTAAAGTGCCGAAAACCGTCAAAAAATGATTAAAAATTACGGTAATTCTCAATTAATGTGTACATTTAATAAAATATGTTACACATTGAAAATCACCAAGTTTTCTTCAAGTGTTATTCTAAATGGTGTTGACAGTTATGTTAGTTATATGAGTTTTTGCGCTATTAATTGGGGTGCAATAAGTGTTTTGATGTGAAACTATGGTTTCGTCAGTTAAAAGAAGTCCTCAACGGTTCATAATGATTGACAAATAAACTATTTCCATAAGAATGCTAGGTTAGGTTAAGATTTGTGCGGAATAAATCGTTATCGTGATGTTTTCTTTTCGTAATACAGATTTATTAGCAAACATTATGTTGGGGTGAGAGAAACCTCGTTCGTGGAGATGGATCGGGAAGTTCCGAGTGTTCCCATCACCACGTTAGCAGGGGTGGCGAGTCTTTCGGATTGTAAGTATCGCCGTCTTAGTGTAGCCAGCCTTAGTAAACTCTGTTTCAGTGCTTCCGGAGATGCCACTACCTACCCCAGTACCTCAAACTATGAGTAACACCCTACTTTTTCATCCGAGAGTAGCGGAAGAAGCTCAAAACTTGCTCGGTTTGAGAGATGACGCTCTTATACCCCAGTTAGTGCATTCTTTAGTACAAACATCGGCAAGTCATATGTAAGTTGTTGCGAGCGCATAATATTAATACGTATATTCTATTCGTGTGTTCTATTATAGAGATGTGAAAGACCATTATGCTCGATTAGAACATGGTGTTGAACAGCAGGACGGTATGCCGGAACTATTGAAGGGAGTATTGTGTACAAACCCAGATGTATTTAATGATAATGCCAGTAAGTATGTACTGTCTTTCAGAAAAAATATTTAGTTCAAGCCTATTGTAACGACTTTGACATTGTATGATTAGGATTCGAGATCTTTTTAATATTAAAATGAACAGCAGACCACTATGCTCATTCGAAGTAATGGATCGCAGGTTTTGCTGAAAAAAAGAACCAAGGGGAAGGTTGAATTGAAGTTATTAGTCCAAGTTTTGGTTGATTATAATCATTTCGTAGATTTTATATTACTGTTAATGGGGTTAGCCGTACATTTTTGTTATTTTACTAATTCTTTTGTCTGTCTGAGGATTTTAGATCTTGGCACTAAGAGCGCTTACGAAGTGGTTTTCTTATTCATCTACTGTCGTGTACTTGGAAATAGTGATGCTTGCCAATGTCATTTAACCGTGGCAATGGAATGTCTTGAACGTGACACTGTTTGTCGCGATACACAATTATCTTATCATAATGTTCTAGACTAGAACGTATAGGTAGTCAGGGAAATAGCCGTAGCTGCTGCCCCAAATCACAGATACAAATTTGCGTTGGGGACGGAAAAATCCCGTCAACTTTGATAATAATAATAATAATAAGTGGAATATTTTTTGACAATCACCAGCAAACGATTAATGTTTATAGGCATGCACTGTTGATGGCAGCTTTACTTTTGAAGTGCGCAGTATTTGTGATTTTTTTATGTTTGCTGTACATTATTTTAGTTCTCATTAGGACCATGATTTAGGGCGAGAAACGAGCACTTTAGTGTGACAGCGACAATATAATCACTTGTTTGATTTGTTCAATAAATATAATAATAATAACAATAATAATAATAATGCATTTATTTTCACATCATGACAACTTAGACACAAAGGCTGAGAGTCTAATAAGGTGGTCAAAGCATATACCTAAGCTGTATGGTGAAAATCACAGGGGATATTGGTTCAGTTGTTGCAAATAGATGCAAGTTTTGATCTGCCACCAATTCCCTGAAGAAATAAGTTAAATACTGTTCTTCGTGCAAAACTGAACACTTTGCTTATTAAATTAAATTATGGTGTCAGATGATAGTTGGTATCCTAGAGCGATTGTAAGCGTGGTGTAAAAAAGCCCTTCCACTGTTATACTTAAATAGCGTTTAGTGTAGGCGTTTCAAAAGGGAGGTGAGTCCTGCTTAAGCATCCATACGTAAGTTTTCCATTTTAGCAACCGTCGCGGAGTCTACTATACAGTTTCTATTTCAGTTTGTCCTGTGTTTTGAAATAATGCGCGCGATTGTGATTTTCGTAAGAAAACGCCATAAAACTCCACCAGTGGAAGTGTCAAGGCAATATTGCTTCAGAATTTAAGTTTATACACCCCTTGTTATTTTACAGCGTGGTATAGCTCGTTCCCATGTTCTTTTTGCTTATCCATATTTTGGTTGGATTCAGGTATTTGACTTAGATGATTGTTGTTCTACATTTTATTTCCTTATATAGGTACACCTAAATAATTCATGAAAAGGGAAATATGACAGTCATCTATAGAATGTTGGTGTGAAGAATCTTCCTTAAGAGCATAATTTGTGGATTATCAGAGAGTAACTATTTTAGATGAAATACAAATTTATTAACAAATATCAATACAAACGAAATGCATTTACATCTATTTAGGAGTAAAGGCTTGTCAATGAAAGAAAAAAAATATATATGTCCAAGTGAGAGCATTATTGAATTTGGGATAACAAGATTAGGTTTTAAAGGTCACCAAACTTATATATTAGACTTTCATTTTGGCTTGCAAAGAGTACAGGTCTTCGATACTCAGTTGTATTGTTAGTACTATACACCGAATTGCATAGGGGAGAACAAGGGGAAAATGATATAATTTGTACAGACAACTTGCTTAAAGACTTATGCCATTACATTATCCCATTTAGCTTCAAACAATAAATGGTTCTACGATTACATGCAATATATTCCGAGATAAGGATGACTATCATGGGGATCTTAGAAACCATAGAAGATACGACGATGGTCATTTTAGAGAAAAGATGCGCAATCAAAGAGTTATTATTATTCTTCTAAGACAATCAGAAAATTCCGATTACTCCCGAAGAGAGCCAGAAAAACCTTGTTTTTATTTTTTCTGATGTTATTGGAACAGATACAAAAAAAATAAATACACTTTCTCAGTTGCACTTTTTGAGCTCTACAAGACACTGTTGAGAGATTTTCAATACGTTTCGTTTTGGACAAATCATCATCAACTTTATTTTTTTATATGGCTTGTAAAGAAGAAATACACACTGTATGGCACTATATGATTCTTTATTATTTAGGTCAGAAAAAAGGCTTGTTATTAAATTCTTAACATTTTGGTGTAGTAATAATAATATTTAATTGTGAGAAGGGCTGAAGTACAAAGAAATTGTTCAATCTGGGTATGAAATCAAGTGAATTTGGGGTAGAATCTAAGGTGGTTAGACTGTCACTTCTACCAGAATTGTAGACTGGAAACCTCGCTGGAAACCTTAATTTTCATAATGTGATTGTTTGTAACATCGTCAGGCAGAGTCTAATAAGAAAATGAGTCCTGGCGGGAACGGTTTGTCTCTTGGAGTAAAAGACTGCTTTCATTATTTAGGCAGGTAACATAACCTATCTTTATTGCAATTGTACGCAGTATTGTTAAGCGAGAGAAAGCCCGCAACATTCTATCTTGCTTGGTTCTCAATCGCCAGATCAAAGGCGCTGCTCGGAGTTGTGTAGCTGAATAATAAGTGTTCACTAAAAATGGTTCTTGGTGCACAGCTAACAATTTCAACATGTTTTGATCAAAATACACGTGGTTGCTAAACATGGGCGTTGATCCCGAATAACTCTTTATCCGGCTGTGAAGCAGTATGATTTGGAATTAGGCCAGTGGCGTGCTGTATTTCAGTGGCGTATCACACTTAGGTTTTTTAAAAATAGAACACCCATATTTTATAGAAGAATCGGAAAGTACTAGGGAATGCAATTCCGCGGCAAAATTTCGATCCCAGTATTTGCAGGATCGTTATATGTCAATCCCGCGGGATTCAGCAAAATTTTAAATGTATTCAGAAATAAGCAATTTTGTGCGGTTAATCGAATATTATAAAAATTTGAGCGGTTTTTGAATTTATTTTCCATAGACCGTAAATTGTGTCGGCGGTTTAGGGGTGAATTAAGGCACACGCTAAGGAAATTTTAGATAGACTTTTGCCAAATGTCATGATATATTCTTTTAAATTTCAAATCCCCCCCTCCCTCTAAACAAATTATTGCTCTGGATAGCCGAAACTATAAAAGTTCCACTGGCACAAAAGACACCAGCGATTCCAAGTTGTGGTGCGGTTATGCCTCCAATGGCTCCAACAGGAAGGTCGTCACTTTGAACATTATTATTTTAACCATTATATTAACCATATTTTTTTAGCGCATTTTTGCAAATTTATTTGTAAAAAGTAGCTTTTAATCTCACTTTGGCTGGCTGGCTGGCTGGCTGGTTGGCTGGCTGGCTGCAAATGTGGGCGCGTAGAAGAACTCTTGTAGAAAGGCAACGGGTGTACGTGTATCTACAAGGCCGTGAAATTTGTCAACCTTAGGGACATGGCTACATGATGTGGGGTTGGCGACATCTGGGCGTCATCCTCGAGCGTAGTATACTAACGTGAAGGTTTTTCAGTTTTTTCCTATCTTCTACTACAGTTTTGGTCCGATTCTTTTCAAATTGGTGTCGGCGGAAAGATGTTGTAAACGCGCACAACTCCTGCGTGGCGGAATTTTGTTTTTTGTCCTAGGGGCGAAATTAACGACCTTTTGCGAGGCGCGCGCGCGCGTCTTCGAGAAGTAGTCAACTTCGGGCGCCTTTTACCTTCCGTTGCGAACTCACGCGGTTTAACGTTTCGTAAATCTCGAATCGCTGTCTCTCTTTCTCGTGTCGCCAATAGAAGCGAATTGCGGGTGAACGGGACGTCGGAAGTGGCTACCGTCAAAGGGAATGTGGTAGCCCCCGACCCGATTTTAACTTTAAAAGCGAATTGCGGGTGCACGCGGAAAGTGGGAAACGGTTAGTGAATGTAGTAGCCTTCGACAAGATCTGTTATTGATGGTTGAGTCGAAAGTGGCTAATAGAATACTGATCTGCCACACAAAAATGCGCTGAAGTCCCTTCGATCTCACACGAGGACTTTGATAATTTTTTATTCTTAGCTTCCTAACTTGAGCTAGGTAGTTATTGCGTTTTGGACATGTCAAAATTTCATCAAATGTCGACATTGTAGATCTCAAGCAGCTTTTAAAGAATAACATTTTTTCCGTCTGTATGTATGTACATATGTACGTATGTATAATAAAAATGATCCCACCCTACTTTTTTGACGGAAACCCTTTTGAAGCACCAGGAATCCCAAACAAACAATATCTCGATGATGCAGGACTGTCTGTCTGTACTCTCATTTCCGGCTAAATGGCTGAACCCACTGGAACCAAATTTGGTACACATATTCTTAAGTGTCGATATTCACCTTTAGGTCGCCGGACGACTTTGGCCGGAAAGGCAACTGCCAGCCGGCCAATTTTCACTACACACGTACTGACGGTCCATGGACTGCCGGCTGACCGAACCTGAGTGTCCAGCTTTATCCATAAAAAGAAGAGCTGAAAACTTTTTGGGTAAAATTGCAAAATTTCCATATTATAGTTAAACTATTACATCGTGCGGGGGGTATGTGTTAGCCAATCCATTTTTTTTTTATTTTTTTTTATTTTATTTACGTTTATTAATCTCATACAAGAAAACAAAAGAGATAGGTACGTCGATTCAAATATTGGAAAAAGCTACAGCTATTGATACAGAAAATCAGATATACTATAATAATAGTTTTGGATTAACATGTGCTTTAATCTATGTTTGAAACTCGCTTTTGTCGGTGCATCTATTATCTCCTTGGGCAGTTTGTTATAGATCCTAATCGTCATACACTTAAAACTGGCATCAGTCAGCCTTAATCGATGTTGTGATAATAGTAATTTCGTGCCGAATCTTGTACATCTCCTGTGAATAGCTAGGTTTGTACGACATTTGTTGAGGTTCCCTCTGACATAGTTAGCGCCGCCTCATTACAGAAACGCGCTTTATTGTATAACAGTTTATTGAGTACTTCAACACTATTTTGTCTTCAACGCGTGCAAAAGTCATACGGTTAATTTTTTAAGATTCAATTGCATTGCAGTTTATTCGTCACACACCATTGGTAAACGTTACTAAGTCATTTTGCAAAGTATGGCAATCTTCCACACTATGTATAGTGTTGTATAGTTTTAAGCCATCAGTGTAAAGTAAACACGGACATGGAAAAATAGGAATAGTGTTGGTCTTAGGTTGGACCCCTGGGATACGCCACTACTTGCTACATAAGATGTGGACTGGAGAACATTTATATATTTATTTATTTATTTTTTTGTGATTCCATCGACCGAATGCCTTAGTAAAGTCAGTATAAATGAAACCTTTGATCTAAGTTCTCTGATATGAATTGCGTAAATTTAAGGAAGTTTGTGGTTGTTGAACGCTTTGCGATAAACCCATGTTAACATGAAGATATTACGTTGCGAACTATGGATAATATGTGTTCACCACTTATGGATTCGAAGATTTTGGGAAAATTGCATACAATGGAAATAATCTTTTAATTTGATATGCAATAAAATTCCAGTGATACATTCCAAAATGGACGGAAAAAAAAACTGTTTATTCACAACTCTTGGTTTTTCTCTGTAACTGTTTGATCAAATGACATAGGAAAAATTTTTCCTGGGTCTTGGTATTATGTTCCACATTGTTCTATGTAAATGCAGTGCATAGTGGCTACTATTGTAGTAAAAACTTTGACTCTGGTGAGAATTTATACAGGTGGTGTCGTATTATCTTTGATGTGACTTCAGGAGACACTGGTTTGTCGTAGTAATACACATAGCAGACAATGAGATTAACGTTTAAACACACTTATTTCATCTTCTTAGGAGAAAATGTATTAGTAACTGATTATTCAACTGATTTTGTTGTTTTGTGTAAGTTTGCTTTTAAAAAAAATGAGAAGACAATCTTAAACCTACAAATAACCTCATGTCTAACTCCACTGAATTGGGTACGTATTCTTGCGAAAAAACTATAAATCGGACCCGGGCCACCCGGGTGCAAGCTGAATATTTTAGCCACTAGACCACTAAATCTTTCAACATAGAGTAGGGGCACCTAAAATAACGCATGCCCCCGTGAATGCAGTTATTCTCTGTAAGCGCTCGTTTGTGTAACCCTGCGGGACTGGGGGGGGGGGGGGAGATGCTCTCCAAGCTGGGGTTTGTGTTGCAATATATCATATACAGTTAAATCATCTTGATAATCATAATTCAGGACATATAGAGTGCTGGTGCGGCTCGATCACCCTTTAGTGTCAAATGCAGATGACCAATACTTAGGCTAAGCACGACAACCAACGTTAACAAAGCCCACTTGAAGAGGTTAATACTGTACGTATGAGAAAATAGAATGGTAGGCGTTAAAGCGTTTCAGCACAGGTATTTTTGTACTTGCAATAAGAAAAATGACAGAGAGAGAGAGAAAGAGAGAGAGCATTTATTTCAACCACGAATGTGGTGTAACTGTCACACAATAACAACATAAATAAAAAACACAATAAAGTACAATAAATAATATATATATATCTATAAAAAAGAAATGTAAATAGGTGTATATATTAAAATTTATTATTATTTTTTTTAAAAATATGACTAGCATTTTTTGATATTCGTAAAGAAATCATCCAGTGTGTATAGCACCATTGACTGAAGAATTTTTCTAATTTGGTTTTTAAAAGGAGCCAACATTGTAATACATTTGACATGTGTCGGAAGGGCATTATAAAATCTCACCCCCATCTGTAGGTAGGACGAGTTATGCACCTTACTTTTTGATCTCATTATAGAAAAGTTATTTTTCGTTCTCGTATTATACGAGTGGTTATCACAATTTAATGAAAATAATTTTCTGTTTTTGAACACGAAACATAAACATTCAAGCACATATAATGAATAGACGGTTGCAATCTGAAAGTTTTTAAAATACGGTTTGCAGGATTCCCGTTTCTGTAGCGAAAACATTACCCTGATTGCTCTTTTTTGAACCTTAAGTATGCTAGCAATTCTATGACTAGTAGCATTTCCCTATAATGAGATACCGTATCGCACCTTACTTTCAAATATTGAATAGTAGATTTGCAAAAGGGTTTTATGGTCACATAAATTTTTACAACGGGACAATGCGAAAATCGATGAATGTAATTTTGCTCTCAGATGGTCAATGTGATCTTTCCAACTAAGTTCTGTGTCTATAATAACTCCTAAGAAGATACAGGATTGACACCTTTCTAATTGAACTGACTAGTAACGTAGTGGAGCGATATCAAAACCCATATTTTTCTTATAAAGAAGAATTTTTGTTTTTTCCAAATTGAGTAAAAGTTTATTTGCATTAAACCAATTAATAAGAGTTGATAACGCACGTTTTAAATTAATTTCTAACTCTTCTTCAACACAAGCCACACACACTAGTCTAAATATATTTCTGCATGATGTTCTCTTCTAGTGTCATCTGCATATGTGGTGATATCACATGAAGATGGATCGAAGCAGTTAAATAGGTCGGTAGGTAAATTATAAATAATATAGGACCAAGGATAGATCCTTGGGGTACTCCATACTTTAATTGGTTTTAATTCCGATGCAACTTCAATAATTTGTCCCGAGGAAGAAATTTGCTCAACTGCAACATATTGCCACCTATCACTAATAAAGGATCTCAAAAAATTTAGCGTCACGCCTCTAATGCCATATGAGTATAGCTTGTCCACTAACAAGTCATGATCAACCAGATCGAAAGCCTTCGACAAATCACAACTTATCGATGCTACGACCTTGCCATTATTATGCGCAGTGTGTATGTAGTGTAACATACTTTGTAAAGCTGTGGTAGTTGATTTATTTACTCTATAGCTATGTTGTGAACTATTAAACAATTTATGGGTTTCCAAAAAAGCAACTAATCTAACTTTTATGAGAGATTCTAGTATTTTCGATACAGAATTTAAGATCGAAATTGGTCTATAATTTTGTGGTTCTGATTTAGATTTTGATTTGTGAAGTGGGTTTATTTTTGCAATTTTACCATGGCTTGGAAAAGCCCCAGAAGAGAAAGAAGACAAGTACAGTACAAATAGTACAGTACTGTACCTGCACACCTAAGTACAATTGTCAGTGGAAAATTATAATTGTACTTTAAATAACATAACAAACAATGATATTGTTCCACACATCGTTGTACTCGTAATAAAAAAATGCTACTCAATACAGTATGTACTTTTTTTGGCTCGTAGAAAAATATGAAGTTTCTCAAAGACAGTGAAAATCTGTGGGCACCATCTTGTAGAGCTTAAAAATTTCCTATGAGAAGGTATTGTTTGTTTTTTGATATTTTTTCAAACAGGGCCAGAAAAAAAGAAAAACGAATATGGTTAGATTCATTTTTTTTGAATATCTAACCGATCGGAATTTTCAATTTTTAAATCATCTGTTTTTATTTGTGGATTTATACACGTTTTCGAATTTTCGCATCCTCTTATCACTTTTCATGTCTTCCTACCCTACCATCCATTCTCTGAATTTTATGCAATGTGGATATATAATTATCTACAGGGATGTAGCATCTGAGACCCTCCGATCATAATTCCTTTATCATAAAAGATACCGAAAAAATCTATAAGCAAATGTGTCCACACTTATATAACTGTCGCAGTATTTCTTAAATATTTCTGGTCACCAGTGGCGTGCTGTATTCCATCGACCATCCCCATATTTAGATGTACAATCTGTACGAATTATAAAAATGCTAGGGAGAATGTTACATCGACAGAAGACATATTTATACATTTATAAAACAAAAATACAGTCAAAATCAATGCACTCGATAAATACCGTCATCGCCGCGCTTTCTATCGTGTCCAAAATAACTTAAGCCTACATTACTGCTATTATTTTAATATTATACAAATACAAATTTATGGTTATTTGTTTATTTACTTAGCGGTGCAACCTCAACAACAACCTCAATGCAATCATACTGATGAAATTTCTGTTGAACCACCTCCTTCCAATTCGACTATTCCACCATCGCAGGATCATAGTGTATTGGAAAGTAATCCGTCTCCAACAGCTGTAACAGTGCCTACATCAGTGTCACAAGTTCACCGGCCATCAGTAATTACTGAACAGCAAAAGCCTGCGGTGCCAGTCGTTAACTGTCATAATATGAACATATCTCAAAAAGATAGTAATCAAAATCCAATCGGTTTGGAATCTGAAAATGTGCAATATAATTCAAACAGTAATACAATGGATTTATTAAGGCAACATCACCAACAGACGAGCGGTAAGAGTTGTTAATTGGCGGGAAAAGTAAATTATTTAAACCGTTTCCCCAGGTTCGTCCCCGCCACAAGCAACGGACGCACCCGCTTCAACAGTCGTACCTGCCACCTATCCTCTTGAAATTGATAGTACGAAAGTAGACGCGCCCGCTGAAACACATCCCGCTTCCCAGGAGCTGGATCAAAACGGCAGCCTATTAACTTCATCTACTACCTTAGTTGATACTACAGAAAGCTTGTCGACGAAGGGAGATTCAATTCCGATATTTCAACCGGTAGTAAAATTAGAACGATTGTTTGTCGAGGTACTGAATTGTGTTTGAAATTATAACCTAAAAATGCCGTTCTAGGTTGCAGACCCTAAAACAAACCATACGAAAACAGCTAGGTCGGGAAAAACTCACGATGGTAAGACGATAGAGGACGGGTCAGAATCGGAACTGGAAGAATCGCCTAAGAAAGTGAAGAAGGATCGAAAAAATAATGTTAACGAAGACGAGGATTATGCGCCTGATATTTTTTCGACGTTAGCGAGTGGTACGAAGCGAAAAAAGAATGTTTACAAGGACGACAAGCAAGAGTCGGTTGTTGTTGTTAAACCGAAACTGAGAAGAGTTGAAAAGGAATTTGTACCTGTATTAGAAAAGTTGTCATTCGAGGAATTAATGGAGAAGAATACGTATCAAAGGTTTAATAAGACTGTCGATTTGGTTGTTAAAAGTGCAGGTGATCACGATACTCCAGAGATAGGTTTGTGTGCGTTTTTTTTCTTCGAATGCGCCAAACTATTAAATTTTTAGGTGAAGACGGAATGGTGCAAGATGAATATTTATTGAGTAGAGTCGTAATGCAAGCTTTATCGACGGAAACTGCAAAGTTGAAGACGTTGGGAGCGACCGAAATGATTCCGACCGATAAATTATTGCGGGTATTAAGTATTATGGAATTAAATATACGGGGCGGTGACCGTGTGTCACCTATTTCGGATGTTAGTTTTCAAATGATTTGCAATAGTTTTGCTATTTCGTATTTTGTAGGAAGACAATGAAACGATACGACAAATATGGATGGAGACTACAATGGAACGAGTGATGGGTGCTGCCGATGCTTGCCTTGTATCTCTCTACATAATGACATCACCTAATATGCCAAAACGTATATATTTAGAAGATGTTATTGACAGGGTGGTACTCTTCATAAAGTATCAGCTTCATAATACCATTTTTCCCTCATTCGATTGTACTTACAGATTAGATAACAAAAAGAAAGGTAAACATTTATTATTTGTCGATATTTTTACATTTACCATATTTTTTGTAGATGGAAGGAGGAAAAAATCTGCACAAATATCAGAAAGAAGCATCGTAGTGTTGTACAATAAAATAACCGAAATGGTAAATTTATTAGCGGAACTTCTTAGCATACAAGTTTTAACGGATACGTCTGTTCTGCACGCATCTTCCATGGGCGTTTCCCCATTTTTTGTTGAAAACGTTAGTGAACTGCAGTTGGCATGCTTAAAACTTGTAACCACGGTAAGTACGTAGTTTTGAAGTACATCAGTACATCTTCGTAAAAACATAATTGTTTCTTCTTTTTATCAATACTTTTTTTTAATACAGATTGCTTTTGAAAACAAAAATGACGGAATAAAATTAGTTTTTAATTTAAGTTCCACATTTTGATTTCTACAGTAATTTATATCATCTCTGTAATGATATTCATGAAGGATGGTGAATGTGCAATTTGTGCTTTATTTTGTTCAATTTAGCGTTTCATGTGAACGCATTCATGGTCTTCATTGTTTTCTCCCACAAGCTGGTCTTTTCACAAATTCTTTTTATCCAATTCGATCATAGATAATTCTTCATGTAAAATATTGAGTACTCGTTCGTGCAAGATGCTATTTCACTTTGATCTTTTCAAACAATACTATAGACTAGACTTGTTCAATGAATTTTTTTATATAGGACGACTCATCAGACATAGTAAGACGAACGAACGATACGAACATACGGGATAATTATGTAGCCCCGGGGTTATCGATCGAAAAGGTAACTAATATCAATACCAACATGATGTGAGCATTCGTCAGAGAAGAAAATTGGAGTTTGTGAATTGAGGTGGGGGAGGGGGGGGTAACTATTGACATACCACAGACATGTTTGGGTTGAGTCAAAACTGTTGGGAATGACGATCTCTGGTTTTTTTGAGCTCTTAACGGCCTAATTTTGGTCTTTCTGGTCTTATGACTCTTTTTAGTTTTTTGACCGCCACAAAATGCGCTAATTATTTAACGTCGTCTTTAATCATGAACGAAACGGATTCGTTCAGCCCCACGAATTGCGCTAAAATTTCGTTCATTAAGAGCGCGCTGCCAAAGTGGTGGGGAAGCTTATTGCCTTTAGTCTAGCTAGATTGTTACCGTTTCGAAATCAGACGGATAACTATAGATGGCGCTAATGTTGTTTCAAAGTAACATGTTTTTATCTGGAAATTTCTCCGCGTCCTTCGGAAACTTTCAGAGACTTTCAGATATTTACCACAGTCACGTACATTTGTAGTCATGAATATGATATAAAGAAAACAAGAATATGCTATTTGTGTAGGACGTCACGCGGAGCTTTAAAATCAGGATTCTTATGAAATTTGTGGTTTATTGATGATTTACGAGGCAAAAATTGAATTTATAAAACCTAAACGCAAAATATGCCAAAAATATGAAGAAATCGTTCAAGACTACTTTTGAAAATGCTATAAGCAGCGCACTATAAAAAGGGGAAATGCAAGCGTTTTTCAAAATATGGTAGATACTTAAGCTAAAGTATCTAAAAATTGTGGAGTAGATTACTGACATAAAATATTGAATTATGTAGGGTACACAAGGTATAATTAATTAAATGAAAAATGCATTTGATATTCTTTTCAACAGTAGACTTTACACTGGTTTGTAATTACATCTAAAATGAACAATTTTTAAAGGAAAAATGGACGAAATAAAAATTGCTCACCAAGAAACAATTTGCTAAGCTATGTGTAGGTCTACCATAAACGTGCGAGATCCCAAAGCACAGTTATTTTTAGAACAAGTGCTACTATATTGGGTTGTTGATATCATTCTCAAGCTGCGACCTTGTGTGGGTGTTGATTGTGATGCGATTTCTTTGACTGACCTAGGTCTACCTTAAGGCAAATTAAAATGGCGTATATATTCAGATAACAGTAGAGCTGTGGGGTCTACGATTGGTATACGGTTGGGAATCGCTGATTTGAAATACTTTAGTAGAAAGAAATGTGGTGTTTGTTTTTCGGGACGCCCACAATACCGCGTGCGTGAAGGTAGCCAGTACAGCAATACAATGTCGAATCCCAGGCTCCGCTGGAATTCCTAAAGAATCAATATTACACACACATAACAAAAACCATCATTAAAACATTACAATAAATTCATATAATAGGTTTGGATATTGGATGGCCAGTCCAAATCCCACACCGAGTAGTCTTTAGTTGCTCTGGTCATTACATGTCAGCATTGTATGAAATCGCTAGGAGTTGGCCTCTCAGAAGAGCCTTTCACATAGGAAGGATACCCCAAATTGTTAACAAAACAAAAGGTCACAACGAGAACACGCCACACGCTTTTAGCGAATCCCTGCGCAAGTGAGGCCGGGCCTAGCCAGCGCCCTCATGTACGACTAAGCGGGACCCCAACTCATTCATTCAGACATCTCTAGGGCCAGTCCAACCCACTAGTCTTAAAATGCCGGGTTATAAATTACCGAACTCCAGGCTCTACCATGAGTACTGACAATAACCGATCAAAAGACAAGTCATGACATAAAATAAATAACAGAGTAACCAACGGCAAACTCGCACGCATACATAATTATAAACAAAATATACACAATTCATGTAGGCGTTGACAGTTAACATATTGCACTGGCATAACAAAGACTGACACAAAACCAATATTCGGTCACTACATGTCAGGGATCGACTAATCGGATTGATTAACAATATCGTCAAGATGTCTTTTTTCAAAGACACACAAAAACAGTACAAAAAACATAATCTCTGCGTATGTCAGTTCTGAACTTTAGCGAGCCTCTGCTATGTCAAATCGAGATTATATATCGGTATCAAATATAGCACAGTACATATTCGAAACAAGTCACCCTGCCAAATATTAATAATCATAATCACCCGGTTCAAATAAATAGTAGGAGCATAATTGTATGTACTATCACATTACAACAATACAAAGGAACATGTCGTGGTAAACATTGGTATCAAGTAATTAATTCACAATGCCAAGTGCAATATGTAACAATCAACCACCTAACGTACGTCACTCGCCCCCAGATGAGGCACCCTGTCAATAAACAGTAACATATTCATGCAAACAATATCGAAATGCAGTGCAATAAATTCAATTGTACATTAAAATGTAGTTCTGCATACTTGTATAGAGTATAGCCCCTAAGGGAACATACAGTATCTAACTATAAATAAAAGCATGTAAATCGGTCAGTAATTCCAGTAGGACCAGTATAATTAAAAGTGCAATTCGTATCTAGAATGTGTTATAAATGGCGATAATCATGCGGTACGGGAATAACATTAAATTGGCAAATAATCGAACACGATCATATCATTATTAGAGGGATGCAATAGACATAGAGATAAAAAACGAGTACATCACCTCTGTAATTGTTGAAGCTGCAATCTTGGACCTTTTTCGTCGCGCCAGGCTCGAATTCGGGAATATTTAAATCGAATTTTAGCGGGCTAATTCGGTTCCATCACACAACTTATAAAAACTAGCGATGGCGACTATCACATAGAACAGGGATGGGGAAATAGCTGCCCGTGCCGGCCCGTGACATGGTTTGTTTCGGCCCGCGGGTAATATCAGTCATTTATTTTCATAAAAACAAATTTATGAACAAAATGACTGAGGAACACCTTGAGAGCGAATTTCTTCCACTAATTTGGAGCCAAATTTCGACGCTATAATGAATGAACGTTCAAAATTTCATTTGTGACACTAACCCAGGACATTGAAACAATAATTTTTGTCAATCTGATTTTTTGTTACTTATATAACAAATCCTCTTTGGCCCGCCTAAATGCTGTAATTATTTTATGTGGCCCTCTTTTAAATTTATTTCCCCATCCCTGACATAGATATTAGACTAATGTGGAATATTGTATTGACATTTTTAAGAGATCCGTGCTCAGAGATTTTATAATGAAGAATTTTCGTATTTTTTAATTGACCATAAAATCACTTGAAACTTAACCGTTATCTATGTAATGACCCGAAGAAGGCAATAACGAAAATTCATGGAGATTTGATTTCATAAAAAATTAAAATTTCTCATTTTCAAAAATTTAATTAACCTATTTGTAGCTAATATAGATCGATGAAAATTCGTTACCTCCTGCGCTGGGTCTTGCCGATTAATATTTTAATATAAAAAAAGAATTAGGCTGATACAACAAACAGTTTTTAAAAATTGTAAAAAAATCTAAAGGCGTGTTTCCTACGCTGATCCCCACCACTCCGGCGGCGCGCTCTTAAAAGCCTACAGTCGATTGATATTGCAAGTTGAGCGCTTGCCATGGACCTGTATGTTATCATTCTGACTGGGCTGTTTTTGGGCACTTAAAATCTATTAAGATCGTATTATCGCCCGCCTACGCCAATAACTTCTATAAGTGTTTTCGTGTTTTTGTCCGTTTGTCGTTTACTGGTTTATTACGAGAAAGTGTTGAGGGTTTCTTTGTTCCTGGATTGTCAAAATGACTTCGGCTTAAATGCAATCATCTATACAATTGTCTTGAACACAACTCAGGTTGAGGGAGGATACCGACTACTGTATTTTGGGGCTACTGGTGTCCCACAAAAATAATAGTGACCAGACTATGATTCTAAATTGGTTGATGTTTTTCAGATCTTCACCCGCTACGAGAATCACAGAAGATTGTTATTAGACGACATCTTGGCTTCGATAGCGCGTCTTCCAAGTACCAAACGAAGTTTACGTACTTATAGGCTGAATAGCGAAGAACACATTCAAATGTTAACGGCGTTAGTGTTGCAGTTAATCCAATGTATTGTAGCTCTTCCTGAGAATTTGGCGAACGAGAAGAATACAGAGAATAGCGACGTTAGAAAGGTGGACAAAGACGTACTAATTTGTAATAAATACGAGAAGGCTACGTCAACTGCCGGAACATTTTTAGCTGTGTTTTTAAGTAAATGTGGGAGTAAGAATGAGGACATTGACTATCGACCGTTATTTGAAAATTTCGTGCAAGACTTGCTGTCCACTGTAAATAAACCGGAATGGCCTGCCACGGAGTTACTGTTAACTTTGTTAGGGAAAATGCTAGTGAAAAATTTTTCAAATAAAGGCACAGATATGTCACTTCGAGTGGCCAGCTTAGACTATTTAGGTGTTGTTGCGGCACGTTTGAGAAGGGACGGTATATTGTCTCAGGGGAAAAGGAGTACCATTGATCAAATGGTGAAGGATATTAAATCCGAAGAACGAAAGGACAGCGACGAAGATTCTTTGACAAAAGTAAGTTTAAGCGAGTCACTGTAAGTTTTAAAGCGGGCAACTTTTAGAAGAAGCGCGTAGAAATCGAATCGGAAGAAGAACGAATTCAATTTTTACAACGCGTGTTGTTGGATTTTTTAGCAGTTGATGCACAAAATAATGAGGCCTTAAGACATGCGCGACACTTTTACATTGCTCAATGGTACAAAGATGCGACAAATCAGAAATCATTTCTAGCCGGTAGTGATAGAAATAAAAGAAGCAATACTAAGGATAATCATCGAAAGCATAAAGGTAACGAGTCTTGTAAAACATTTTTAATTTCTTTAGGTATAATATTAGATAATAAGTTAACATGGAAGAGTCATATTAATTACCTAAAATCTAAACTATATTCAATAGCAAGGAAAATTTGTATATTAAAAGCATCACTTATCTGTCATGCGTTAAAAACAATTTACCGTATACAGCGAGTTTTTTTTAAATGCGAACATAGGAGTTTGCATGCAATGTAATTTCCCTATGTTCGATTTAAAGAAAACAGCAATTTTTTAATATTAGCAACTGTCGGATCACAAAGAATAAATCAGCTAGTAACAACTAGAAGCATGACCAAGCAATATAAAAAATTGCCATAAATAAATATAATATAATAAATAATATTCTTGCATAAACATAAATCACGTTTGCTGAAAATAGAACAAAAAACGTAATAATGAAAAAAAAAGTAAAATCAAAATTGTTTGTTGACTTCATAAAAAAAAATAATGAAATTTTATTGACCAAAGCTTACGGAAGCGCTGAAGGACCACGAGGTGATATTTCCTATTAAACACGACCGGCCCACTTCGAACTCGACCTGCCGACTTCGAACTCCGTCGGTGGACTTTAAGCTCGACCGGCCGAGTTAGAGCGTTGTCAGCTTCATTTAGAGAAGTGGTTCCCAAACTCATTTCCGTGGCGCCCCCTTTATTAAAAGTAAATTTGCTCACGCCCCCTATTAAAAAAACTGCTGTTACTACAAACGTATTATTACAAAATTACAGCGTGAGTTTATTTTTAATTTTCACTATTAAATGAACAAAGTTATGCAGAATTTGATGGTGATTTTCCCTTTCAAAATTTCTATTAGCTCTACAAATAGCGAAGCTATGGCAAAAAACCCGAAAAATGTCATCGAAAATTTATTTTCAAAGTTCTCAAAAAATTATTTTAACAATACCTTGGTGAATTTTTCTCAACTTTCTGAAGGTGCTAAAAAATGATAGGACCAATAAAATATTACGTTTTTTAATCAAGTCGGATATTGCATCTATAACATCAATGGCTTTTGAGGTTGATTTTAGTTCATTCGAGATGTCTTCTTTTATAGCACCATCATAAATCGCACATACACTATCATTTGGAAACATTGTGCAACATTGGTGCTTTCATCAGCATAAAAAGGTGAATTTATCGAGTACCTTCTTATTTCTGTAAGAATTCGTCAAATACAATTTTACATAAAAATACCTAATATAAGTATTGTAAAGGTATCTATTTGCCTCGCACACATCAGGGATATCGTGCTCCCCAGTTTGAGAAACACTGATTATTTATTTTAGAGTGTACATTAGGGCAGTGTTTTTCAAACTTTTTCAAACTTTTTTGTCTGGTGGGACACTAAAATAATTAAACAAAATTCGCGGCACCCTATTATTTTTTGCCTTTTTTACAATTAGTAAGCATTGTCATATATTCCAGAGGTCATTTTATATCGTACTCTGCATGACATTTGAAGTAGGAATGACAGATGTCATTAGAATGCACAATCGTCTGTTTTACTTTATCTCCCTAGCGGTTAAAGTGATGACTTTATCTACCTTCCTGGTTAAAGAGCGATTTAGCCTACTCATTGAAAGGTACCTATTAAAATTGTAACATATGCTATATAAAATAAATAAAATGAATTTAAGATTATAATAATCTTAAATTCATTTTATTTTAAATAATAATTGTTAATAATACGTATTAGCTTGCCGCTTTATAAGTGATATTTACAACTTAACAGCACCGTGTAGCGCAACTGCGACGCCGCCGCTCTTCGGTTAACCATAGAAATAAATAAAATAGAAACATAAAAAAACAGAATTGTACGAAGCCGTACACGGGCCATACACACACTTGGTGTTCTTATTCCAAAAATAAGTGGAAATTTCGACAAAAAAAGTGGAAACTTCGACAAAAAAGTGGAAATTTTCACAAAAAAGTGAAAATTTCTACAAAAAAGTGGAAATTCCCACAAAAAAGTAGAAATTTCAACAAAAAAGTGGAAATTTCGACAAAAAAGTGAAAATTTCGAAAAAAAGTGAAAGCGGCGACAACAAAGCAGAAATTTGACCTTCCCCCGCCACCCCATCGAGTGACCCATCATTTTAAAGGCCATCAAATATTTTTGTCGAAATTTCCACTTTTTTATGGGAATTTCCACTTTTTTGTAGAAATGTTCACTTTTTTGGCGAAATTTTCACTTTTTTGGCGAAATTTTCACTTTTTTGTAGAAGAAGAACACCAAGTGTATATGTGGCCCGTGTACGGCTTCGTAGAATTGCAATTAAAAAATGAGTAATATTCCTTTTTTATAATTGTTTTAATTCTTTTTTTTTTTAATTTAAATAATTTTAACTCAATTATGTATTACAAAATTTTACGGCACCCACTTTTGAGAAATTAAAAATTAAAAGATTTGGTAGAAGCCGAGGAGTTTAAACTCGGTCAGTCGAATTCAAAGTCCTCCGGCCGAGTTCAAAGTCGGCCGGCCGGGTTGAACAGAAAATATCACCTCTTGGTTCTTCAGCGCTTCCGTAAAAGCTACAGATTAACTCAGGGCTGTATGCTTAGTGCATAGAGAATCCCTTTCCCTATTAAATTTTTTTTTATATTAAAAATTCACTTTCTTTCTGTCTCTTTTCTCCTTGTGTTTTTTCTTGTAGGTATCCTAAAAAAATTTTTTTGTTTATATTACTCTTATGTAGTGAATGCACCTGTATAACATGATGTATGGGAATATAGTCAATTATTATTATTATTTTTAATTGTTTTGTTTTAGTCCATAGCGAAAGTATGGACGAATCTGAGACTGAGGAACAGGTGGAAAGGCTAAAAGATGCGTCTACCGATCAAGAAAATGCGGAAAAGTACAGAATTATTGAGGCGAGGAAAAAATTTTTGATAAGCAGGATTCGACCATTTCGTGAAACGATCTCGGCCGGAAATCGTGTGCAAGTGTTCCAAACTTATATTGACTATAATAGTGCCGAACTTATTGCGCAATATTTGGCTTCCAAAAGAAATTTTTCTTTGAGTTTCGATCAATACTTGAAAGCGGTACGTCTTTGTTGTTTTTTCGTCGCAAGTGTTCATAACTTTGTTTTAGATCCTTATTGTACTGAAGGAGACGTCGATAGCAATCCGTACAAAGGCACTGAAATGTCTCACGACGATTGTAGAAATTGATCCCTCAGTATTAGGGAGGCACGACATGCAAATGGGTGTAAACCATAGCTTTCTTGATCACGCAACTTCGGTTCGAGAGGCGGCAGTGGACTTAGTAGGAAAATTTGTTCTTAGTAGACCGGAGTTGATCAGCAAATATTACGAAATGCTATCCGCCAGAATATTAGATACGGGAGTTAGTGTGCGAAAAAGGGTAATAAAGATATTAAAGGATATTTGTATCGAGTGTCCGGATTTTCCTAAAATTCCGGAAATATGTGTGAAAATGATCAGAAGGGTCAATGATGAAGAAGGGATTAGGAAATTGGTGATGGAGGTCTTTCAAAATATGTGGTTTACACCCACCAAAGACACGTCTTTGCTAAGAAAGGTTATGAATATCACTGACGTTGTCGCTTCGTCTAAGGAAATCGGCTTAGAATGGTTCGAGCAACTTTTGCTTAGTGTAAGTGTTGCGGTTGTTTATGTCGGTTACTGTGCAAATTTTTTTTTAGTTATTCAAGCCAAAGGAAGATAAGGATGATTCAACAAAGATTCAAACGGAACCTCCGAAAGCTTTACTCCTCGCTTGTAGGCAAATTGTCGATTGTCTTATAGAAAATGTACTAAGGCTAGAAGAATCGGACTCCGATACGTCCGGTGCCTCTCAGCGATTAGTCGCCTGTTTAACTACTCTTTACCTATTTGCTAAGATTAGACCTCAGTTATTAGTAAGGCACGCTAGTACTTTACAACCTTATCTAAGCTTAAAGTGCGAATCCAACGGAGACATACAGATTATTAGTAGCGTCGCAAGAATGTTGGAATTAGTCGTACCTTTAATCGAACATCCCAGTGAAACGTTTCTAGCGCAGTTGGAAGAAGACTCGATGAAGCTAATCCTTCAACACGATCGACCTATTGTCGCGAGCTGTTTGTCATGCCTGGGATCTGTCGTTAACAATGTTACTAGAAATTTTAAGCTTATACGGGATTGTTTTAAAAAATATTACGACTACTTAGCGAAAATTAAAGTGTGGCTGTCCACCGAAACTGGCGCTGTCGCTTTAGCAAATATTAAATGGAGGCAGTATTTTAGGAGGGCGCTCTTCATAGTGGGATTATTATTGAGGCACTTCAATTTTAATGATCCCGAAGTTGTGGGCGAGTTACCGGTAAGTAATTGTACATTGTCATACCTGTTAAAATATAGAATACAACAATCTCGGAGCAAGAAATAAAGGTAGAGCATAGTGGATTTATTCGTGTTTGAAAGTTTTGTATTGATTGAAGGTTAGGTATGAAGCAATAAATTAAAAATTCATAATAAATAAACCGATACAACGAAATATCGAAGGATCCTCAGTATTACAATAACTTTTAACGATAATTTATTTTAATGTTACAAAATACATCAAATTCATGTCTTGGCCATTGAGATAATGCTCTTAATCTTGTTTTGATCAAAATCCATGTGGTCGCCAAAAATAGATCAAATTCATGTTTTGATCATTGAGATAATGCTCTTGGTCTTTTTCCCAACGTTCTTGGTGCATAAATAACGATTTTGACATGTTTTGATCAAAATTCATGTGGTCGCCAAAAATAGATCAAATTCATGTTTTGGTCATTGAGATGATGCTCTTAGTCTTTTTCCCAACGATGTTGGTGCATAAATAACGATTTTGACATGTTTTGATCAAAATCCATGTGGTCGGCAGAAATGCATCAAATTTATGTCTTGAGCATTGAGATAATGCCCCTAGTCTTTTTCTCGACGATCTTGGTGCATAAATAACGATTTTGATTATTTTGATCAAAACCCATATGGCAATAATTTAACATTTTTGAATCACACACATGCGGTTATCAAATGTGCACGTGATGTACTCTTGCTGCATCAAGATAATGCGTTTGAAACCTTTTAAAACTCTAAATTCATGTATAAAGTGTAATTTTTGCTACATTTTGCTCTAAAACTTTCGACCTATACCACAGAGAAGAGTTATATTAAAGTATTACACATCTAAGAGTCATAGGGAATAATCTAGCGGAAGTCCCAACCCGATACATGACCTAGGGAATGAAATATGTTGATTTCTATTATATTGAGCCCGTAGTTTTTCCTGTTCCCGATTCACTCGAAGTCCTATAACTTTTGTTCCTATTGAACCAGCTTCCTGAAAATCAATAGCGTCCGTCCTTAATGTCCAAAGAACCCGTACACCAAATTTCAACTCAATCGGCCACTTTTAAAAAGAGTTAGAGCGCACACGGACGGACGGACGGACGGACGACAATACAAAACTATAAAGGATCTGAGGATCCTTAATAATAAATTACACTGACCACGTTGTATGGCAATACTCATCCTTTGTCTATGTGGTAGCTAGGGGTTCCCCAGTAATATTGGTAATGCGTTTTCCCAGGTATTCCACAAAATTTTCGAGCTTCTCTACACCAAGGTCCCAATGTCTCTACTGCGAAAGGTATAAAAATATGGTTCTGTTCTATAATTGAACTGTATTTCCTCATTTTTATACTTGCCACAGATTCAGACTCGTTTTAGTTGCAAATTAACATGGGATGGTGCTTATTATTATTACAGACAAAATACTACAGACAGCTCATGATATATACAGAATTTTTGTGATGAAAGGTAATCCGTCTGGTAGCTCCCCTATTGTAAAATGTTCAAAAAACCACCTTTTATTCATTTTAAGGAGTAGTTGAGTATAAAGCTATGATTGTGTGTGATATCTAACATATGATATGAAATGCACAGACTCCCCCCCCCCCCCCCCAAATAGAAATAGGCGTATTCGTTTCTGGTGATTTTGTGATTTATAAATCACAATCAGTTTCACCAAAATCAGTTCAGTTAAATCACTAGAAGAAAACACTGAAAAGTTTCGCAATCCTCAGAGTAAGAAATAAAGATAGAGATGCCTTGATGCTAATCTATGCGTGCCATCATCTCGTTTGTTTACTAACATTGCAGGAGGCTAAGTTGTCACATTTCACGAGATAGTTTTTAAGGGAATATTAATAATATATGCATCTCGAGTAATCTAAATGGATTTTTAGATGCTTATAAGAGTTCAGTAACCCAAACAATTTTAACTTACAATTAAACGGCGTAACAAGAAAAGTTATGGTGATTAGTGCACCACAACGGCAACGCTGTAACTTTGTTTTCCGTTGAGAGGTATTTTGTTTATTTCGTTAAAACGTGATTCCTTAATTTTTAGGCGTTTTTATAGTGCAGAACTTATTCGATTTATGGTGTATTAATTTATGGGAGCCCTTTGAAATGGGGAAAAGCTGTATTATTTGTGGAATTATTGAATTTACCAACATAACATACGGGAATTTTCGCATTTTAAGGGCGCGCTATCAGTGTTGTGTGTTGCCTATCTCACAATAGCTTTCTTATCGGAAACATGACTAACGTAATTCATACCGTTTTTAAAAACTATACATTTTTTTTGGGAAATGTTTGTTGTTTCTTGTTCTTAAATGTATGTAAATTATGAGTGAACAGTTTATATTGCATTAAAACTCATAGTACATTCTCTGAAAGCGTATAAAGTAGACGTTCGGTTGCAATGACAATCTTTTGTGTATAATTCAAAGGTCAAAGAAATTTTTGAAATATAAATGGTTTCTCCAGATTCTTGCACATATAATAATTAAAACGTGATGCGAAAATCGATTAAATGTGGTTTCTAAAGCACAAACGGTATGAACTCCGTACACTTGAAAAATAGCTCGTAAAACAATTATAGTAAAGAAATCTGTTCTCAGTATAGTTCAACGTGTACGGTATACTATTCTTAAAAAGCGGGAAATTTAAAGTGGAGTACTTATTGGAATGTATTTTAGCTTAGTCCTTTATTGGTTTTTTTGGTCATTAGCATTACTCATTAGTGCAGATAAAATGTTTCCAGCAAAAAACCGTATCATAAGTAGGAATTACAGTGGTTAATGTTACCTACATTCAAAATTTGGGTTAGGAAACTGGCAAAAGAAGTATTTATAAACGTTGAGTGAAGGATCAGGTGATTTTTCACTCTACGTTGCAATTAATTAATATAAAAATTTCAGAGCTTACAACTGAAAAAGTGGAAAACGATTATTTAAAAAAAGAGGTTATGTTGGTTGATGTTTCTGAATTGATAATACCATTGTTAAAGTATTTAAACAATGATAATACACAAAGTGTTAATACTGCTTACGTTTACCAGACGAAGCGCTTCATGAGCGCTACTTAAGGGCAGGAATACTCTACCAAACTTTCGCGCCCAAGTTGCACTGTCGAGATGTACATTGTACAATGCCACCGTAAGTCGGATGTACGGTGGTATTTACACCTCGGCAGTGCTATCAGACAACTCATGCAAGAAATCATTAACTGGAGATTATATATTCGATAATAAATGTACATGTCACTTACAACTAAATTTAAGCACTATAGTAATAACGAAACCCCACCGATTGGATGCCATCTCGGTTCCCATAATTTGAATAACTACATACTATCGGTATTATATCAAAAAATGATTTTATTTCACATCCAAGGGTCACATCGGTCAGGTTACGGTCAGAACATGTTTGTAAGAAATTGACCATGATGTGACCGATGGCCTTATATAAACGCAATGTAATGACATCATTTGCTAAAATGATAATCGGAAACAAATTTATTCCGTGTCGGAAGTCAATCTTCGGAAATGTGTACAGTCGAAGAATAGCCTAAAACAATCCAATAATAGAACTATATTAAAATAAAGATCCTCATCTTTACTTACCTAGGTAGGTACTGTTTTTTGTTGTTATTTTGGAGTTAATAGAAAATCAGGTAAACATAACCCATAACATAACCCCACTTTGAATGGCATTTCAGGAATTACAATTACACACTGTTATTGCCATTCAATTGAATTACTGAACAAAACCGCATATTATGGTAAATAAGTATTTTTTGGTAGAATTTATTTCACACGATCACTAAATTCCCTTTTTAGAGTTACGGAACGATATTTACAGTTACAGATGGTAACCAAAGGTAAGCAAAATACTATTTTTAATATTTTATCTCAAGACGAATGTATGCGAGTGTTAGTGACCTAACGAAGTACAAATAGGGATCACGGATTTGGGATGGCAGCACAAAGCGACGAATATTTCAAAAATACTTCTTAGTTCACTTTTCTAACACCATGGCGTGCAAACGCACCCTTAATGTGTTTAGATTTCCTTCTAAGTTCCCACTTTGAAGTATCACCATACCTTATCATAGATCAATAGGGACCTTTCAAACACATACAGCTTTTGATCATAAATATTTAGTGATACGTTATTACCTTTGCACATGTAAACAAAACATAAACTTTGTTGCCCATAAAGATAAATAAACCCTACGCCACTGACTAATGTTTACTTTCGTCCTCTCAACGGTCAAATTAACTGAGATGTTTGTTCAAAACAAACGTTCACGTTGTTATAGCGTACGCGTACTCTATTTCTTACTCTGAGTCGCGATCACATAACATCACCTATTACCATTGTTTATAAACATTACTATTTAGAAGAAATGGACTCATTTATTATTGAAAGTTTTTTAGAGGTAATATTGTTTAAATATTATAACTCTCGCCAAGAATGATTGCCGGTCACAGAACACTTGATCCCGATCTACAATCTCTGTTTTTTGTAAGGTGCTAGCGACTTCCTGGATAGTATCGTGTCTATGTTGAACGAAAAGACTTTTTGTTCAACATTAGCACGATCCTATTTCAGAAGTCGCTCGCATCTTAATAAAAACAAAGATTGTAAATCGACACAAGGTGTGCTGTGACTGGCAATCTTTCCTGGCGAGAGTTATATGTGGTATGTTGAACTTTATTTGTATAGGGGGCTGATTCGGAAGGTTGGGATTCAGAATCTGACACAAGTTTACATATCAGCAGTTCTGAAGATTCTCTTGTAGAAGTGGCACTTACCCAATGTAATAAAAAAGTAAAAATCCCCAATTTTATATCAGATGTGGTAAATCGCTATTCAGATGAGGAATTTAGAAGCCATTTCAGAGTTACTAGATACTTTTGTAAGAATTGATTAATAAATTATTATGCATTCCAATATATAATAACCGTAGACCTAGGGAGGAAAG